AACTGTATAAATCTCGTATACTTTAAAAGCTAGTATTTTAATATATTTCTCTCTAAAGCTTCCTGTCTCCATTGCTAGGAGGTGAGACCGCGGTGGCCTGGGACCATTGTTTTTGGATCACGTCCAAAAACAATTTGGGCGATGGAATAGCCTCCTGCTCTTGCACTTGTTTGGTGAACAAGCGTCCCGTGGGGTCAAGCCCCACTTCGGTGCTCGCCTGGGTGGTTGCTCCCCCCAAATTGGAGGTGGCCTTGGCCTTATAAAGTAGGGATTTAAATAAGGCCGGCCTAAAGAGGTCCAAGAAGGGAACTTTATCCTGGACCACACCTTCATCATCCAGTAACTCTAGATCCAATATTTCCACTTCCTCCCCCAGAACAGAGCCCTCGCTGTAGATGGAAGGCAAGGGAAAAGGGGGATCAGTCTGAGAAGTGGCTAAATCTTTGGCAGAAATCAAGTTTCTGGATCATTGACTCATACGATGTAATTCTGCATCTACTAATCTAGAGAGAAACGTTTTTGCGTCTCTTTAGGCTGGACTGAGTTAAAAAACTGAACCAGTCCAGTCAGAGGAGGCGTGGCCATCAATTTACATAACTCAATCTCTAGGCTAATGGACAAAGTTAACCCATATTTAGATTCCCCAAGCAGTGCACAGGAGAACAAGTTATACACTTATTTTTTTCCAATTCAGTATGGTTTATTAAGGGTGATATACAAAGTGTTATTTCTCAAATTATTTTACACATAGTAACAACAAGAAGATGCCCAGAATATTAAGAAGCGGTAGATCAGGTGATATTTTTAAAAAATGTAAAACCCTAAGTAGGACAAATGGTGAATTTAAGTACAGGAGTCACCATATTTGGGGTCTAATACTACCAAATGTAGAAATCCATTTTTCTGATACTTAACTACTTAGCAAAATGAGTTTTGCTAAAATGTATTTGCAACAAGGAGATAACATAGTGGAAAATCCTTCCAAAGATAATTTCTAACTACCCAGCTTTGTTCTAGAAAACCTGATCCGTAATCTATTGCAATTTGAGACTTTCAGGTTAGAAAGAGTCCAAAGAGGAGGATTCCTTGCTTACCTTCTATGTCAATATTTTGATCAGGAATTTCCAATTCTATTGTGTCCATTCCGGATTCTCTCCAAGACCCACTGAACATACTTGAAAAGTAGCCAGACTACAAACAGAAAAGTCATGTTTTTAAATAATTTTGCAACCCTTGGAATTAAAAGATATATATGATAAGAAGGTATAACACAATATTATTTCCATAGTAAGAGGAACTAAGATAGTTACACTTGAATTAAATTTTCTATTTTTCACTCTTAATTTGAAGATACATTTCAATCTTACTCATATTCTAAACCAATTGCTTCATTTGCCCACCAACCCCCTCCATCTCCATGCACTAGTTTTAATACTTTGATCTGAACAGAATAAATGGGCTTTCATTGCATCTAAAATGGGAAATGATGGAACGATTGCTCCAGGAACGGGAACTAAGATTAAGCTCTGGTTTCAAATTTGGTTTGAGGACACTGTGGATTACTTAAACTGGAACCAGCATGCAAAGCAAAGAGGGAGGGGCTGGCCAAATCTGTCTTATAGTTTATTTCTATAAGTGGACAGATTGCATCCAAGTGATAAGTGATCAGAAAAAATATATAACAGCATCACAAATATACACTACTACCTAAACCTTGGCCACAATTATATATAGATATTGAAGGAACTACACATAACACATATAATTATTGGGGGAGAGGAGGGGCGGTGTGTGATGTGTTGACATTTCTATACAGGTAGATAAATCAACACATACAGTACATACACTTAGGTATACCTTTTCATTAAAGTGCATTACTTATAAAATTGAAATTGCTAGTTTTTGATCTAATGAGGAGAAAAATACTGTTTACTATAAGTTCACATCCCAGCTGGAGGTGACTCATTATGAGCTGCTATCACTCACTGATGTTTAAGACTGAGAGATCAAAAAAATAAAATCTATTTGTACAGCAATATTGTTCTTGTTCCATTTCCTTAACCCCGACAAATCTGTATTATTCATAAATTGTGTTAATATATCATTAGCTCTCTGCTGCTCTGATACAAATAGAATGGAATATTGTGACTGTGGACTAATATTTGTCTAGCTGCTTTTCCTAGATTTCTGATCACTATTGGGTCCAGAAGTCAGTATGGTTGTAAGTCATCACAAGACCAGACCATATTTTATGACCATTTTTATGATGTTCATTAATTAAATCACATGGTCATTCAGAAAATCTATATTTGCTGACTGACTTTGTTGGCAGAAGCTGGCTGGGAAGGTCACAAATTATGATGACATGACCGCAAGAAGCTGTAAATGTGAGACCCTTTCCAAGTACCCAAATTACAATTGTGACCATGGGGATGGTGCAAGAGTTGTAACTTTCGGGATAGGTAGTAAGTCACATTTTTAAAGACCCTCATAATATTGAACCACCTTGCAAAGATAATAAATCGAAGATAACCTGTAATACACACATTACACCTAAACATGGTTTGCTAAAACACCATTATTAAACATTATAAACTTGGATGGATGTATAAATTGTATGTTTGAAAGGCCTCTGAATGGCAGAGAAACAAATTGGCTTAACAGTGCATGGACTGAGTCTCAAGGAAAACCAGTAGTACCTGTGTTTTCTGGACTTCATTCAAGGCAGCGGAGCTCTGCATTTGAGTATGAAATGAAAAGGTCTGAGGCCTGCTTCCTAATAATAGTAATAATAGAGATCCGAGAAAGACAAAAGGCCATTTTTACCTGACAGAGGTATATCTTGTGCAAGTTCCATTCTTCTCCCAGGGCACATATTTTAACATCACTGTTTTCACCATTCAGAAACAGAGTCTGATAAATATACTTTGAAGTGCTTTTTAGCTTTTTCCTGAGTTAGAAAAAAAACCATAATTGTTGAATTCTTACATATATATGATATAAATACCAAGAAAAATATCTGTAGCTCACTCAGGGTTGCACTGTAGAGTTCTTGAGGCCCTCAGAGCTTGGTTGTTTGCTTGCAGACATTTCATTACCAGATTACTTAACATTATCAGTTTGTGGGAAAGGGGTGGGGGTCCTGCCTGTTTATATATACTGGGAGTAGCTTGCCCTGCCGGTTTAGGAAGAGGCTTGGTTCCCGCCCTGTATCTATTTGCTTAAGAGTATTTCTACTGCTTAATAGTTTGTCTAGAACAAACTCTGATTTTCTGAATATTGGCTGCCAGAGGGAAAATGTTCCAGGCTATTTCCTTCATTGGTTTATTTATTTTTTCGTTTGGTAAAGAGAAATTTCTTATAAAGGTGGTATATCTATACTCTGTAACATAAAAATGAAGAACAACTCCACAGTCACTTACCCTGATGATGTTACCTAGTTGGGTCAAGAAACATCTATAAGCAACCAACCAAGCGCCGAAGCACCAAGAACTCCATAAAATTAATTCTTTAATATTATATGTAAGATCATACATAATATTGAGGGCTTTAAAGGCCATATAATAAGTCCCTTTGAGAGTATCCTTCAATTTGATTGCATGGCTTCCCCCCAATCTTAACAGACCAGCGTATTTCAGGTTCCCCAAAAAAATATGGGGCGGGTGGGGGAGCCCCTTTCCTGAGTTTTTATTCAGCAGCTTTCCGCAGCTGTTGACTTTATGGACGGCCCTTTCAGAAAATCGGGACTTCAACAGAGTCAGTTTGGCTTGCTTATTAAAGGACACCAGGCTTAAAAGCCAGGAGGTGGCGACTTCCAGTCCCACCTCAGCCATGAATGTTTGGATGACTTTGGCTCAGCCCCTCTTTCTCTGTCCAACCCACCTTCCAGGGTTGTTGTTGTTGTTGTGGGGAAATAGTTGGGAGAATGAAGAGGAACTAAAGAGCCTCCTGATGCGGGTAAAGGAGGAAAGTGCAGAAGTTGGCTTGATGCTCAACATTAAGAAAACTAAGATCATGGCATCCGGCCCTCTCAATTCCTGGTAAATAGATGGGGAAGAAATGGAGGCAGTGACAGATTTTATTGTCCTGGGCTACAGGATCACCACAGATGAGGACTGCAGCCAAGAAATTAAAAGACACCTGCTCCTGGGGAGGAAAGCAATGGCCAATCTAGACAGCATCCTAAAAAGCAGAGCCATCACCCGGCCAACAAAAGTATGTCTAGTCAAGGCTATGGTTTTCCCAGTTGCAATGGATGGCTGTGAAGGTTGGACCATAAGGAAGGCTGAGCGCCAAAGAATGGAGGCCTTTGAACTCTGGTGCTGGAGAAGACTCCTGCGAGTCCCTTGGACTGCAAGGCGATCCAACCGCTCAGTCCTAGAGGAGCTCAACCCTGACTGCTCTTTAGAAGGCAAAATCCTGAAGGCAAAACTCAAATACTTTGGCCACCTCTTGAGAAGGAAGGACTCCCTGGAGAAGAGCCTCATGCTGGGAAGGATGGAGGGCAGAAGAAGGAGACGGCAGAGAAGGAGGTGGCTGGATGGAGTCACATGAACTTAAATGGACACTAGAGGACAGGAAGGCCTGGAGGAACGTTGTCCATGGAGTCATGATGGGTTGGACACGACTTCGCAACGAACAACAACAGTTAGAATGAATGAGCTGGAAGGGCCCTTGGAGGTCTTCTAGTCCAGCCCCCGGCTCAAGCAGGAGAACTTAGACCATTTCAGACAAGTGGCTGTCCAGTTTTCCGCTTTTTCGAGGAGATGCTGCTGCCTTTGCTTAATGGCTGCAGAGGCTTTTTCTCCCACCTTTTTTGTTTTGTAAATAACTGAAGGTGGTGAACAATCCTAAAAACTCCTTACTTTCTCCTATTGGAGACTCCTTCTAATAATGAAAACAATTGACCAGTGGGACGCCTTAGCTCCAGAAATTGTAGGTGCTTCCATCACTAGAGGTATTAAAGAGGAGACTGGACAATCTCTTGTCGGAAATGGCAGGGAGTCTCCTGCAAGGGGTGGACTAGATGACCTCGGAGGTTTTGTTGCTGTTCCGGGAGGCCTGGAAGCTCCGCTGGAGAGCAGCGCCTCACCTGTCCCCTCCCCCCTGGGCCGCCCCCCTCTCACCCGAGCGCCAAGGGGCCCCTCCGGGCCCTTTCCGCCCCTACCTCCTGGGGGTGCTGAGCAGCCGCTCCTCGCCGTCGCTCTCCTCGCCGCTCTCACTCTCGCTCAGCCCTTCGCTCCGCTTCCGTTTGGGGAGGGTCCCGTCGCCCCTCCGTCCCCCCGCCCCCTCCACCGCCTCGGCTCTGGGACCCCCCCACACGCGGCTGCTCAACGAGCCCATCCTCGCCCGCCCAACCGCCGCCGCCTCCTTCTCCTCATGGGGACGCCCGACCGGCGATGTGAAAGAAGCCCACCTTCCACTCTACCGCTGCGCATGCGCTCCCAGCTCGGGGTGGACGGGAGAGACGGCACGCGGACGCCTCTTGCGCATGCGTCGGCGCCTTGGCCGGCGTCCGGGCCAATAGGAAAGACGCGGCGGCCCCAGAGACGCGCATCCTAGAGCGGCGGAGTTCGGGCCTTCGGTGGCGTCACTTCCGGCGTGACGGCGGCCCGGCCATGGCGAAACAGGCGGCCGTCCACCGCGCGGGCTCCTTGAAGCAGCAGAACAAACCGCACAAGGCCGGGAAGCACCGCGTGAGCAGCGCGCGAAGGCAGGGAGGTAAGAGCGCGGAGGGCCTCCTTTTTCCCGGGGGTGGTGGTGGTGGTTTAATTTTTGGGTAAGGTCGAAGAGAGCCTCCAGTCCAGGAGCAGTCTATCCCAATTCGGCGTCTGGGTGCCTTCAAGGTCGAGGCATTCTGGACATTCAAGACCAAAGAGGCTGAGATAGAGAAGCGGCAGTCTAGGTCTCTCCCACCGTGGCAACTTGTGGATTTCATCCCCCCAGAGTCCCCCTGTCAGCCTGGCTGGGCTGAGGAATGCTGGGAGTTGAAGTCCACAAGACTTCGAAGGGGAAATCCCCGGTCTACTCTGTGAGATTAAAAATCCCATTAATTAAATATCTCACAAGGTTTATTGACAGAAAAATAAAAAGTGTTCGCAAAGGCGGCCTCCAAGTGTCCTCCCAAGTGGATTGAGTACAAGTAGATTCAAACAATACAATACATTTTATACACTCTACACTTTATACACATTTTGTGGTTAGCGAAAGCTTAGTAATGTATTACACCTTTTAGGGAAGAATATAATGGTGTATACATTTAACATTGTAAAATAATACAAAAGAAACCTTTTAACATTTTGTAAAAGAGTAACTTAATATCACTTCCTTCAACTCAAAGGCAGCCCCGGATGTTGTTTTGTCTTCCAAGGAGGAACAGGCAGAAAGCCAGCAAATTTCCTGCCAGGAACAAGAAAGAGGAAAGGAAAGGAAGATTGGGAGGGTTAGGAAGAGGAGGAGAGAGGGTATAAAGGGGACAAGGAGGAAAGGAGAGGAAGGGTAAGAAGGAAAGGGAAAGGAAGGAGGAGGAGAAAGTAGAGGAGGGAGGGAGGAAGAAGAGGGGAAAAAAGTAGAATAGTAGTAAAATAAAATAGATGTATTGGTAAGCAAAACAAATTTCAATTATATTAATTTCTTATATGGAAAAATGAATGTTTAAAAGGGTTAAAATATAATAAGAAAATTAACTAGATGAATGTAGATGAAAATTAACTAGATGAATGTAAATGTATGAGATTAAAAATAAAAAAACTTTAAAAAAAATCTCCTACCATTTCACCCCTCTTCCTTCTCCAGGTCGGGTCCCGGTTAAGACCTTCACTCGTCAGGTAAACCGTAACAGGTCGAAACAGGACCGCAGGCACCGGGCTTGGCAGCTCCGCCGGCAG